ATAACTATGTTCCTACCAAAATCCCTAGGCAAGGAAATCTAAGTCTGGCTTACCTGCTTGAAAAATCATGTGAGGGCTTTTTTTTTGGTACTGGGGGATCAAATTCAGGACCTTGCACTTTCAAGGTAGGTGGTGGCAGCACCTCTGAGCTAAGTCCCTGGCCGGCTCAGGGCTTATTTTCTAATTAGGTCTTTTTTACTTTTACAGAGGTTCACAGATACTGAGAGTTTGCCTTAAGTCTCAGAAAAGACTAGACTTCGGCCTTTTTATAAATGCTAGAACTGTTGAGACTTTGGGAGGAGACTGCTGCATTTCTGGTTGTATGCAGGAGAGTTGCATTAGGTCCACATTATAAACTTCTGATTGTCTTTACTTGGAAATAAAATGTCATCCGAGATGTATCTTGGAGTAAAGTTGACAAGGAGTGGATTGTGACCATTAATTTGATAAGTCGGCTGCATTGGATTAAGGAACGTACAGCTTGGGCCAGGGATGTGGCTCAGTGGTGCTGCGCCTGCCTTGCAAGTGCATGGTCCTGAGTTTGATCCCTGGTTCAAAAAAAAAGAAAAAAAAAAGTGCATCAGAGTAGTTAAGCGCGCCCTGGATGTGTCCGGGTCGAACGTGAGAGCGTGGCCTCACACGTTACATCGGGCCTCACCCGTCTTCGGAGCACCATTCCCCGCGCTGCTTCCCGGCCCTCAGGAACTAAGTAGCTTTCTCCTACCAGGTCCCTCTACCATGCTGTTTCTGCCTTGGAGCCAGCGGACTTTGGACTAAACCCAGTAAAAAACTGCGAGCTAAATAAACCTCTCCCCACTTAAATTTCCATCTCAGTGGGAAAGCCGACAATATACTATCTCAACATCAAAGCAACAACAATTAAAAAAACAACATAAAAGAGGACTGGAGATGTAGCTTAGTGCAAAGGCCCTGGGTTCAATCTCCAATACAGCAAGAGGAAAAAACATATCCCTGTGCTAGAGGCAAGCGACCGAGGTAGGGCTTGGTGCCTCCCCCCTGTCCTCTCAGCACTCAGGAGACTGAAGCAGGACGATTGCCATTGAGTTCAAGGCCAGCCTGGGCTATCTAGTGAGTGCAAGGCCAACCTGAACTACATACCAAGACCTTATCTTTAAAAAAAATGCAGCTGGGCACGGTGGTGCACACCTGCAGTCCCAGGGGAGGCTGAGGCAGAAGGATTGCCGTGAGTTCAGGCCGGCCCGGGCTACACAGTGAGTTCAGAAAATTACAGTGCGAGACCTTGTCTTAAGAAAGAAAAAAATATGTACACATGACAATCATGAAGTTTAACAGTGGGACCAACATTGGAGGTCTGAACACAAAACCTGCACTTTCCGAACAAAACTAGGTCAGTGAGCCAAGAGGTAGGCACTATTGCTCCCCAGCCTCTGCCCTCTGCCTCTCGAACACTCTACCCTACGCACAGCCATCCTAAGCACAGAAGTCCGTCGGGACAGCCAGCTCTCGAGCCTCAGTCCTCCACGGTGTCGCCCACGTTCTCTACCCAGGTTACCCTCACCACACCCTCTGTCCCCAGCCTCCCAGAGAAGCACCCCTTCCTCCTTCCTATCTGAGCTCCTATCCCCTAGAACCAGTATTCCAGTCTCGGTCCTTCCAAATGGCTCATCTGCAAGCTCATCTGGCCCCATCCCTAGGGTCATAACTGCAGAGCTAGATAGTGGATATTCCGTGTCAGATCACTGCTTAAATGAAGCCTGACCCTGACCCTGGGACCTTGGTAGCCCTGCACACTGGCTGAGGCAGGTGGTCTCTGGCTGTCCTGCTGACCTGCTATGTCCTTCCTTGGGGTCTTCTCCCTTATCAGAAGTCAGAGCTGAACATGGATGATTTCCAGAAGTAGAGGTAATTTCCTGATGTCTGTCACCTTCGTGCGCAGAGGGACAGCAAGAGTTAACTAGTCACTCAGCCTGGAGATCTGGCACTGGACGAGGTCACCGGCCCGCCCACTTCGAGTCAGTGGCGGCCTCTGACATCAGCAGCAGCCACCTGCCTCAGTGCTCTGGCTGTCCACAGCACCTCCTCCTCCTAGGGGACGTCACTCTCCACAGGATGCCAAGCAGCTTGGCCTTGAGCATTATCTGCGAAGCCGGTCCCATAATAACCACTGCCCTCCCCAGAGCCTCCCCTGGGAAGACACACGTGCACAAGGCTGTACATGTGCCAGGCACCTCTCTTTCTGGAGTCTTCCAGGGCTGGAACGGGGCTTATGGGCAGGTTCCTAAGTCGAAAGAAGAGCTGGTGCCCCAACTGTTTCCCTACTCGGTCGCTCAGTGTAGAAGCAGTGAGTCCAGTCTGTGTCCCCCTGCAGCTGTCTGCTGGGTTTGAGAGCTCAAAGGGCCATGGCGCCTAAGTAACACCTGCAAATCAGGACTTGGGGGCAGCACCTGCTGGGGTGCTGGGAGGAAGGGCAGCTCTCGGAGGCACAAGCCACTCCGCCAGGTGCGGGTGCTCACAGGCTTTGCAGAAGGGGCCTTGAGGACCGGACAGTGCATCCAGCAGCTGCTGCTCACAGGACCCCTACTGCTTCACCGGGGGTGAGACGGAGCTGTGGGACTTGCCTGCCCTGCAGCAGTCCAAGCACAGCCTGGTTCTGCCAGACCCTGGCCTCTCGTGCTAGGGAGACTGTGAGAGAGCTTCCACTGTGGTCCTGGCCTCCCCCACCTCCCAGCAGTGGTGAAGGACACAGGCTGCTCACGCGAAGGAGGCAAGGCCTAGGCCAGGGGCAGAGCTAGTGTCGGTCTTTCCATTCCCAGTATTCTTGACAGGTGACACTGGCTTTACATCAGCCTCAAGGCCACCAGAGCACATTGGCAATGAAAAGGATTAACGCTCTTAACAAAGGAACTCTACATAAAGGCACTGGCTATCCACAGGCAATCTAAAACAGCAACAAGCCTGATGTGAAAGTCCAGAGTCCAGACGCATCTGCTCTAAAAGATATGTACAGATATGTGTATCTCCTTTTCTAAAACCAGTGGCCTGAAGTATTGGTGTTGTCAAAGTTATAGCTGTAAACATATAACTTTGAACTCAGTGCATATGCTTCTGGGAAATCTTTAAGGTGCTAAGTGATCCGGGAAAACATTCTTTACACAATCACATTTGCTGCCTACACCCTTCTTTCATATCCTCAGACACATAAAATCTCATCCTGTGTGATTTGCCACTTCAAAGCTGCCCGCTGTCCCCCTTGACAGCGTACCTCGATCTGAATAAACTCTTGTCTTCTCTACACGCCTCTTTTCCTGCCCATGTCCTCAGCCCTCCGTGTGCAGTGCGTAGGTGTGGAGAGGATCCATCCCGGTGCCTGGCTGATGGCACCTGGACTCGCAGAGGCCTTCAAGGCTTTGTGAGTCCTTGCTGAGTGCGGCTGGGTTCCCACAGTGAAGACTGGGGCACTCTGGCGTCTCCACTGTTCTACACATGTCAGGTCCTGTAGCACAGCTTGCCCAGCGTCTGCTACCCTAGAAAGCCTCTAGGAGGTGTTTGTAGGGTCCTCTGAAATCATCCTTTGCTCTCCTGATGAAGGACCCAGTCACCGTCTGACTCCATTTTGCTCCTCTGGCTTGTTCTTTCTCATGTCCTTCTCACCTTATCTCAAATCCCAGAAACAGCAAGCCCTGCAGGCTTAGGCACCTGAGGCCTCCACCCTAAGCCAGACGGGACCTTCTCACGACGGAAGCCACTCTGCTCCTCCAGCAGCAGCACAGAACCAGATGTGAGACAATGAGCAACCAGGCCTAAGGTGATGATCAACTAGCCTATAGCTTCATCACTACCACTAGACTACGGCCCCACTTCCGTCTTCCCACTGTATAATCCTAGAGCCACTGTCAGTCCCCAAAGACAGAACCGAGGGTGCTGGTCCTTGTTCCTTCCCAGAAATTCCTTTCTTGTTCCACAACCACTCATCTCTGATTGGACTTTCAAGGAAGCAGGAGGAAGAACCTCATCTGTCAGGACCCCTAAGACACCCTCTGGCCTAGGACTCAAGACATAGGTGTAGAGTGTGGCCCCAGCCAAGGTGACTGCTTTGGAAACTTACTGGCTGAACTGTTAGGCCCCCTTGCTGCAAACCCCACCAAGAGAACACACTCAGAGTGGGGCTTTGATAAAGGTATTTTCTTTTTTTTGGTTTTTGGTCTTTTGAGACAGGGTCTCACTATGTCGTTGAGACTGACCTAGAACTCATTATGTAGCCCAGGCTGGTCTCGAACTCATAGTGATCCTCCTGCCTCAGCCTCCTGAGTGCTGGGATTACAGGGTGAGCCACCACGCCCGGCCTGATCAAGGTATTTTCTAACACTGGATGGGCAAATAAATGAAGAGTTCAACATACCAGGTGTCCAAGGGCACACACGAGGAACCATGTGCAGATGGACCAAAGGCCAGAACCATGAACCAAGGTCTGACCACGAACGAGTCATTTCTACCTCTGGATGTCAACCTTCCTGTCCTCTGAGGTCAGGGCAGATACTCAGTCCCCAGCAGCCTCGTTTCCTCCTGCACTCTGCAGACCCCTACTCACATTCCTGGACCAGCGCTGCCCCAAGTGCAACGAACAGGTCTCAGGATGCCTGCACCATACCATGGGGGTGCTCTCCCCTGAATGCAGGCTTCAAGCCTCGATTCCAGGCCTGTCGAATCAGTTTGAGGACGAGCCTTGAAATCTATCTTTCAACTTCTGAGAGGTACAGTATGTCCTCTTCCAAGAGGCTCCATCTCAGCTGCCACTGTTTTTCCTTTGTATCCGCTGAATCGGCACCAACCTCCCGCTCCCTTCTGCGCACCCCGCTCCCCCACCCCCAGAGGCCGGAGCAGCAGCGTGAGGCAATCGTCCATCCTTGACCCTTTCCTCTGCACGGCGAACGATGGCTTTTTTTATCTCCCAGTGATGATGCAAAGCCTTCAGCCAGGGGCATTTAAGGAGAAGAGCACATGGTGCAGGCTATGCTTCAGGTCACAGGTGGACCTTGAGCGGTTCAGGAAGCCGTCCTGAGAGGCCAGCAGCAGCAGCGCGGCCACGTCGGCCAGGGCACAATGCTCCTCGCAACATTCAAGCTGTGTGCCGGGAGCTCCTACAGACATGTGCGCCACGTGAAAGGTGAGTCCCAGGCCAGCAGGCACTCGGGCGCTGACCGCGAGCTCCCGGGAAACACGGCAGCGGGGAAAGCCCGGGTGGAGGGCCAGGCCTCGGGGGCTCTGGTCCCAGGTGTGTCTTCCTGAGGGTGAGCCTGGGTGGGTCCCCTCCCCCTGATGACCCCTTTCCCCATTGGAAGGACTGGGCTGGATGCGAGACGCCTCTGTCTCTCCCTGACTGTCCTTTCTGGCCTGCTTTCCAGGGCTCCAATAGTTTTGAACTATTCTGGACTGCCTCCTTCAGGGCTGACAAGGCTCAGGAAAGTCTGAGCTAGTGGTAGAGGGGGGAAGTCAGTGTCTGACTCCAGCAAGCCTGAGGTGTGGGCAGGGAAAGGGGACAAAGGAGCCAGGGAGCAGGACCAGGAAGAGCCAGGTGGAGCGCAAGTGGGTGGGGCGGGAGTTGCAGTGCGCAGCCAGGCTGGGGCAGGAGTCAGCTGCTGTGGGCCACTTTTCAAGAGCTCACTGGGAGGCCATTTGGGTTAATCCCCCTTTACACTGAAGGGGGCAAAACCAAGCTGGAGGAGCCCTCTTCCAGTGACACTGGCTGAATGAGCTCGGAAGCCTCGCTCAGACCTGCAGCCAGAGATGGGGCTGCCCTGGCTACTGTACCCACAGAACTGCGGCACCCTGGGCGGCTGCTTAGGCACAGGACCTTCCCGCCTTGGGAGTTCCCTGATCCCAGGGGATAGCCTTCTTGTCTTCTTCAGTAGGATGTTCCTGGTTGAACAGAACTTCTGCAGCAGGCCCTGGTCAGCCTCTCCAGCAGAGCAGATTTCTGGGCCCCAGAAGTGGCCCGTGTAGGGTGATGTGATGTGTACTGAACTGGCTGTCGGGGCACTGCCCTCCTAGGAATCTGTGCTCCTAAGCAGGAACAGTCCCTCTCTTAACCACTTTCCTGTTCCTTGGAAACAGTCTTGCTCCCTCCCTGCAGGGCTAAGGCACCAGACTATGCTGGCCATTGGCCAAGAGCTGAACCGGAGAGCGCTGGGGGAGCCAGCTCCCAGTGCGTGGATTAACCAGGTCCAGCATCGGAACTCACTGCTTGGTAAGAAGTCTTGCGGCTTCTGGTCTTCTGCCAGGGGAGGCTCTCAGGATGCCAGTAGGTGCATGAGGCTCTGACGCCCTCGCCCCTTCCCCACCTGTTCTGACACATTGTTCCCAGCCTAGAGCTCCTTAAGGCCAAGCCCTTGCCTACCTGGACCCACAGGCAGGACCCTGTGGGACTGGTCTTGGCTCTTCCGAGCGAGAAGCACATTGAGATCGGAGGGATGGGAGCTGGTCGGGGACCAGGACAGGGACGAACGCCGTCTCTCCTTGGCTGGGTATCCAGGTTCTCAGCTGGAGGAGTCTCTCTACAGTGACCAGGAGCTGGCCTACATCCAGCAGGGAGAGGAGGCCATGCAGAAAGCCCTGGGCATCCTCAGTGACCAGGAGGGCTGGAAGAAGGAGAGCCAGCAGGTAAGGACGGGGTGAGAAACCTGCAGCTCCCCACTGTCACACTCCAGCCTCAGCGCTCCCAGGAGGCTGGCTGGCCTCCTGCAGCAATCACAGGGCAGCATGGAGTTTTAAGTTCCCAAGAATATATTCTCTCAGGTAACTCTTCTCCCTGGGGGAGTCTTGTTGGAGAAACACTGTTGCTATATTTTTAGCTGCTCTCTGAATACAGTGTACACCCATTAAGCAGAAACCCGACACAATGGCTCCTTGTGCGTTAGAGTATTGAACCCGAGCTCCAAAAGCACTGTGCTCAGCCACTCTGAACAGGGGGCTGGGAGAGGGCCTCAAGCTGTCTGGGGCACTCACTGGGGACCGGTAACAAGGCCTGTCCCCAAAGCCAGGGGCTCTTATTGGAGACTTTGGCTTTATCTTCAGCAACAGCTTAGATGCTGTCCTCTACCAAAGTTCTAGTAAAACCTCTCCTCAGGTTTTCTGATTAATGGAAATAAGAGAGTAAGCATGGAAGTTTAGAAAGCTCCAGACTGAGCCCAGCACTAATCTTTGCTAAGGGCTCAGTGAACATTTCTGGCCTGAAATCCTTCTGGTATGAGGCGTTTAACTGGGGGGAAAACAAACAACAAAAACAAACTCTTAAAGATCCCACCCCAAATCCTGCTTATGCAATATAATTAGTTAGCTGAATAGAAACCAGACTTTCCCCACTCCCAGGTTTCTCTTTCAGGATCTTTGAGCTCCTGCAGTCAGGTATTGGTCTTTTCAACTGGACCCACCTCCATGCCCATCTGCCACCAAGAAGAGTGTGGGTGGGGTGCTCTTCTGGTCTTCAGTAGATGTCTGTACCTGTGGCAGGAAAGATCACTACTCTGTCATATCCAGACAGGTTGAGGTGTCCTCATGTTCAGCTTGGATTTCCTTTTGCCGGGCCCCTCTCCACCTTGACTAGTGCTGCCTTGAGATCTAGGCTCAGAATATTTTCATCTAGAGCTCTGTTTTCTTCCTGGCAGGCAAATGGGGACAAAGTGCTGAGTAAAGTAGTTCCAGATGTGGGCAAGGTGTTCCGGCTGGAGGTGGTGTTGGATCAGCCCATGGACAGGCTCTACGAAGAGCTTGTGGATCGGATGGAGGCGATGGGAGAGTGGAACCCAAACGTCAAGGAGCTCAAGGTGAGGAAAGCCCACATGCGTGGTAGGGGCCCAGCAGAGTCCAGTGTCAAAGGCAGGCCAACGAAGGACCCAAGCTGTGGATGGTCCTTAGCCCCAGCGCTGGCTGACGGGTCATCTGGTTTCCCTGTGGCCTGGCAGGTCCTGCAGAAGATTGGAAAAGACACCGTCATCACTCATGAGTTGGCTGCAGGGGCAGCAGGGAGCCTTGTGGGCCCCCGAGACTTTGTGAGTGTGCGCTGTGCCAAGCGCCGAGGCTCCACCTGCGTGCTGGCGGGCACGGCTACACACTTCGGGGACAGGCCTGAGCAGAAAGGAGTCATCAGGTAAGACCGACAGCAGTAGGCTCAGACACCCCTTCTCCGAACAGGCCACGGTAGTCATCCAAGTATAGCATGGGTCAGAGTCCCCAGCCCAAAAAATGAATTATTGGCCCACCCCTAGAATCCTTCTACAAGATTCTTTTTCTGGCTGGGTGTGGTGGCAGCACCTGGGATGCTGAGGCAGGAGAATCTGTTGCTGACTCCCTGCCATCTAGCAACCAAAGGGCCCAGCAGCAGGCTCCAGGTTCCACTCTAGATACACCATTTATTCGGAAGAGCTGGTAACCAACCGTGCAACCTTCGGGTATCACCACTGGCAAAGGGGACTTCCGATGAGATTTGGAACAAGGACAAGGTGCTCAGAAATGTGGCTGGAGTAACCATTGCAGTCAGCGTCAGGGCGAGCTCTGATGTGTGCTCCTGACTTGCCTTCTCTTCCTCCGCCAGAGCCGAGCAGCGCCCCACCTGCATGGTGCTTCGTCCACTGGCTGGGAGCTCCACCAAGACCAAATTCACCTGGCTGCTCAGCATTGACCTCAAGGTGAGGCATGGTGGATTGCAGAGAGAAAAGCAACACAAAGACAGTCAGTCACAGGCTGTGGGTTGGGGAAGTGATGATGGCCAGATGCTATCCTACCACCTCCAAAGCCTGGAGTGGTTCCCTGAGTATTCGTTATCAAATTTCTAGATTATGTTATCATTTCAGAAAAAAGGAAGCTTAGGAGCCAGGTGCACACCTTAATCCTGGCTTTGGGAGGCTAAGGCAGAAGGACTGTGAATTGTATCCTTAGCTACATAGCAAGATCCTGTCTCAAAAACAAGAAACGTAGCTGGGTGTGGAGGCACAAACTTGTAAGTTAGCACTCAGGAGGCCAACGCAGGAAGATTGGAGTGAGTTCGAGGCCAGCTAGGGCTGCAGAGTAGGTTCAAGGACAGTTTGAATTACAGAGCAAGACCCCATCTCAAAAATAAAAAAACAGAAAGAAAAAACAAACTTAGGCCCAGAAGTCTTAGTGTGAGAAAGGTAATGTAAACGTAGATTGCTCAGGGTCACACGGCTGTGAAGACAGGGCTGGATTTTCGTCTTAAGAGCAAATCTGGTGCTCCTGACACCATCACGGCCTTTCAGCAGTGTAGTCTGTGACCCTGGTCAACTCCAAGACTGTACCTGTACACAGAGCTGGGAGGCTGCATCCCAGGCAGGGTAGAGGTGTCCAGAGCAGAGCGGCGATAGATACCTTCTCCTGTCTGCACTCCAGGGGTGGCTGCCGAAGACTGTCATCAACCAGGTCTTGTCACAGACGCAGATGGAGTTTGCCAACCACCTGCGCAAGCGCCTGGAGTCCAGCCCCGCCTCCGAAGCCTGCTATTAAACACCAGCCTGCTGTTCCCCACTGAGCCTCTTGAACTGACTTGCATGTGCACCAGGGACATCCCCACCAGAAGCCTGCAAGTCTAAAATCATCTGGAGACAGGGCGGGGTGGGGAGTTTAGGGTGTGAGAATAGGGCCAGGACTATTAAGTGTCAGCACCAAGGAAGCAGCAAGCAGACTCTTAGAGAAGACCTCTACCTTCACCACTGAGTAGCTCTGAATGTAGACTAAGCTCCTAAGATATTGGTCAGACATTTTTCTGGGCCCTTATATGATCCACTAAAGCCATCTTTAGAATGGTAGTGTAGTGGCTGATCTAGGTGCAGGGGATGCTAAATGTAGGAATCGGGCTCAAGAACGCCTCTCCCCAGGCAGGGATCGGACCATGCAGGGCCTCTCCCAGGTGCTCAGCAACCTTCGGCTCCTGTACTAGGAAGGATCAGGGACACACAAGAGGATCAGGCGGGCTTCCTTACACATCCCACACCCACCAGTCAGAATAAAGAGTCATAACAAACACAAGAACTTCAGTCTGCACTTGTTTTAAAATTGCTATTAAAAAAAACCTAGTCTAACAGATCATAATCTCATCCCAGAAAGATTTAAACTAAATCTCACTGAAAGAAATACTGAAGATTTATATCATCCAACTATTTTATAGGATGTTACTAAAAATCTTTCATAAAATTTAATTTTCATGGTAAGCACAGACCTAAATCAGTTTTTGTTTTTTTGGTACTGGGGATTGAACTAGGGACCTATGCTTCTTGTGAGACAGGTGGCATAACATTGAGCTAAATCCCCGGCCCACTAAATCAGTTCTTAAGGAACTCTGTAACTGACAGCTGATTAAGGGGCCCTGGAAGATAATTATAACTGCAGCTTTTTATTTACCTTTTAATTAAAAGGAAGAATAGTACCAAGCACGAGATAACAAACAATACTGCTAAGATAGGTAACATTTTTATTAATGCCAAATAGTAGAAAAGAATTACACAGCTGTCAGCTTGGCTCAGAGCTGCCAACTTCTCTGCTCGAAAGGTTAAAATTGTGCCATTTTAGGACCGGAAGTGGCTAGAAGAAGGGATAATATGGTAATAGCAAGTTCCCTTTTCCAGGATACAGAGAAGTTAGGCTTTAAAAATATAAATTGAAGGACGGAGATTTAGCTCAGTGGTGCCACCACCTGCCTTGCAAGCGCAAGGTCTCATGTTTGATCACCAGTACCTCTGGCCCCCCAAAATATATATAAATTAGAGCTGGGTGTGATGGTGCATGCTGTAATCCCAGCACCTGGGAGGCTGAAGCAGGGAGCCTGGGCTACACAGAGTCCCAGGCCAAGATGGGTTACATAGTGAGTCTCAAAACACACACAGACACACACACACATACAAATGGGATCACTTTGCCAAATTTAAGTAGGATAAAAAAATCAATTACACCCAAAGCTTTTTTATTATTATTTTTTTGGTACTGGGGATCGAACTGGGGGCCTTGCACTTGCAAGGCAGGCGCCAGAACCACTGAGCTACACCCCCGGCCCTTCCATTCTACTTTTAATAGCTCTGATGTCTTGCACCATTTGGAAAGAGGGTTCTAGCTTGTTAATTAAACGACATAGCAGTGGTGGGAACCCTACTATTAGGTTATTTATTGAGATATTAAAATTTAACAGCCAATAGAAATATTTATTATAACTTATTTTGGCTATTTCTTAAGTATTTTTAGCAGAGATGAAATTACTGTTTATCCAGAAACTTCTGAGGAAGGATTGTCATGGAGCACTTCTACAGCAGAAGCAAAGCCCACTGTAGGCTAAGAGAAGTTATTTGCTTAAAGGTTGGTAACGCAACCTATACACTAGTTCAGGAGAACAAGCTGAGGGAAAGAACAGAGCTCTCAACAAATAGCACGGTTTTAGGCTGGGCTGTAATTTACTCCTTTAAGCTATGTAACTGTTTCTGTGTCTTTTTGATGTGTTGGTGTTTTCCAACTTGATTAATTTTACATTGGAATAAAACAAGTTGTCACTAATAATCTGATTATAGAAAATATGCAGAATTAGATGAAGATCCTCAAAAAGGCCTGATTAATTCAGGATCACAGACAGACACTCTCTTGAATATAAAATATTAAAAAGAAAAATCACTCTAGTGTAATTTCTAATTTATGAAGCAAACCTAATTTTATAAAATGTCACCCACTTTTTCTTGGAGTCCTTCAAATTCTGATGATTTAGAAGCTTTATAAACAAGTCACTATTTTTTGGAGATAGGGTCTCGCTAATTTGGGCTGGGCTTGAACTCAGGGCAATCCTGCCTTAGCCTCCTGAGTATTGGAAATGCACCACCATGCCTGGACAAGTCTGTCTTCTAAGATCAGTCCATGCATTCATTAGTAGCTGTCTAGAATCTTACAGGTTGAGTCCTCAGCCTACAATCATATTAACTGCGGTTTCCTGTTAAGATGTAGAATGGACAAGAGCCGGGTGTGGTGGTGAACACCTGTAATCCCGGTACTCAGGAGGCTGAGGCAGGAGGATGGACCAACCTGGGCTACACAATGAACTCAAAGCCAGCCTGGACTACCTAGTAAGACTCTGTCTCCTAAAGCAAAACAAAGCAAAAAAGTGGAATGGACAAAACAAGGAATCTGGATGGTTCATTAAAAGGCAAATAAAATTATCAACGCTACCTACTGTGTGATGATGCCAAAATCTACTTGAACTTGGAAAAACTTTTCAACAGGAAAACAAAAATAAGCTACTCAGCAGCATCACAGGCATGGTATGCAGCGTTTGTGTCAGTATTTCACCTGTTAAGCCAGTCTGCTTACTGACCCGGTGGACAGTTAGATGTGGCGTCTCTGGGCAACCTGGGAGAACTGCATTTGCCACTAGACTTGTGTATTTAAGGGAGATGGGGGAACCGGACAGATCCCAAACAAAGCTTACTGTGGTTTCTGGGATTCTGAAAACTGCTCTTGTTTTCCTTTGGCAGTTCTGTGGGCTGAACTGAGGGTCTCTGCACAGGCTGGGCAAATGTTCTACCAGTGAGCTACATCCCCAGCCCTGCAAACTGCACTTTCATCGTCAGCTAATATGAGGGAGACACACGTGGCAGGGAACAGGCTGCACACCATGTTCACAGAAAGTGGAGGAAGCCGTTAGCCCTGTGAAACTCCTGTTCATGACGCTGAGATTCCGATTTCCCCAGGCGCTGGATTTGGCAGTGAGAACGGGAGCAGGAGGGGCGGGCTGTAAATCAGATCCGCCTCTCCTTCCCAGCTGCCCTCCTTCCTTGCACTGCCCACGTCTCTGACAACTGCGCTAAGACAGCTGCCCCGAGGTAAACCAAGTACCACACAAACCTGGGAGCAAGTTTTATTCAGAGAAGGGATCTAATTCTGCTAAAGCGGAGCAAGTCTTCCACAATTCCAGTTCTAGGGACCTAGTAGTTTCAGAGATTCCAGGTTAAAAGGTGTACTTCAAAATCAGCAGCCAAACCCACACCAAAAGGAAAGCACTTTCAGATGGGCCCGGAACATACTGCCAGATTTCAGTTCTCAGAACAGTCCCACAGCCTGGGGTCCAGGCAGGCAGAGTCGATGCCCACAGAAGGAGGTGTCTGTTAGAAAGTCAGCTGTTGTGCAGAGCACCACTCCTCAGACAATGCAGCAAGGAAAGAAGTCCCTGCCGGCAGAGACGGGACAGCACCGTTTTACAGGGAGTGAATGCGGCTGCGGCTGGCAGCTGCCGGCTGATGGCACACAACACGGGAGCGTCACGGGGAGCGGTGAGGGAAGGGCGGGCAGTGCCACCCACCTCTCAACGGGCTGAAGGGGTGCGGCGCCCTGCAGCATCTTTGGGAGAACAGTTGAGAGTTAAAAACGGAAACCTCAAGCCTTATTCTCCAGGAAGTTCAAGCCTGAAAAGAGCTCAGACCGTCAGGGTTCCCAGGGAGGGCTGCGCCTCCCATCCACTTCCGTCTCCACGTGATACAGGACATCGGCCAGGGTGTGCTCGACCACAGCGCCCCAGCCCATGTCACTCATCTGCAGGAGGAGCAAAAACAGGGAAGGCGTCAGCAGAGCCTCGCGGGAGGCGGCGTCCCGGGGCATGGCCGCGTGTTACTCACAGGGCGGTAAGTGAGGTCCTTCGGAGGGTACTTGAAGCATGGGCCGAAGTTAATGGAAACCTGGCATCAAGTCAGTTCAGGCAGACACGGAAAACAACACAAAACAAAACAATGAAGAGGTTAATCGGACATGTGAAAAATTTCACTTTCAATGTAGCTATGATACCTGGGGTACAGATTCAACAAAGGAGACATGCATTACTGTTGCTAAAAGTGGTCCAAATCCTAATGCCCACCAAGAATTGGGCAGAAATAGACCTGTATTATTTCTATTAAAGACTAAAGATTTCTTTTTTTACCTTGAGTGGTGCTGACAGACTACAAGTATATGGAAACCCCCACGTGTTCATCTTATTTATGTGGAAATGGGCCCGATCGTTCCCTTTTCCTGCTCCTCTTTAGAGCGGGACTCACCATGTAGCTCAGGCTGGCCTGCAACCCACAGTGTGGCCCCAAACTCAGCGATCCCCCGTCTCAGCCTCGAGTGCTGGGGTCACAGCTGTGGGCTTCGGCCCACACTCTTCAGCAGTCCGCACAGCTCCACATTATGGCGGTCACCCTAACGTGACCCAACGGGAAGTGCGTACGCACACACACTGGGCCTGTACGGTCTGAACTGGACACACACCCGTGTTTCCGGAGGAGAAGCGTGTGCACGCTCACTGCACAGCTCTTATCCGGGGGTTCATGTCCTAAACCCCACCAGACAGTAAGTGACAGGGCAGCACATTCACAGGCAACTCTGGAGCTGCTCAGGCTTCCTCCCAGGGCTCAGGCAGTGGCTCCTCAGCACAACCCAGTCGCACTATTTTGTTTGGTTGCTTTTGAGACAGGGTGTTCCTGTGGACCCCGGGCTGGCCTCTAAGTCGCCACAACCCTCCTGCCCTAACCTTCAGCCTCCCGAGGGCTCAGATCCATCACACTTTTCGTTACAGAATGAACACAGGATACATACCGTGCAGCTCTTGTACAGTGAGATCGCCGGAAAGTAAACCCCCTCAAAAATATCTTTGTAAGCCACACCTTGATTGACTCCATTTTTATAAAATATTATCTGAAACAAAAAGCATGGTTTTACTTTGGAATTTTAAAAACGTGAGGAGTGCTGCTGCCAGACCAACAACACAGAACAGTCCAAGAATAGTGCATTGTTTATGGAATAACAGTACCCTAAATTTACAGAGTACACTCAATTGCTCAAAGTAAAATTAATGGAAACATGTACCAAGCCAGGCGACTTCAGCTTTTTTATTTGCTTTCTGAATTTGTGCCACCTATACTAAATGGTTCTAACTACACTAGTTATCATATTTTGTCTAAAAGCAGCAAGCCAGCTCTCCAGATCACCTGTAACTGTATCTACCAATACTTAGTTATTTTTCTTTCTTTCATGAAGTTCTCATTTCTTTTTTTTTTAACTTTGAAGTTTTCTTAGAATCTTAAAACTGAAGTCTCATTTTGTGGTTTTTTTTTTGACACAGGGTCTCACTATGTCGTTCCAACTGGCCCCAAACTTGCAGAGATCCTCCTGACTCAGAGTTCCGAATGATGGGCTCAAAAGGGTGTGCCACCATGCCCAGCTGAGTCCTCACTTTCTTTATGCCCTTTTTCCTGCTTATCCAGAGGGTACCACGACCATCCCTGGCACATCACAGCAATTTTACATCAATGTTTCCAGCTCTCTGCAGAGCTTTCTCCCTCCTGACTCTCCTTCCCCTTGGGCTTTGGCCCTTGAGGCTGGTTCAGATGTACCATCCTTCTCAGACCGTACTGTGCCGTGGAAAGGAGTCAGGGGGCCCTCATGACTGCTGGGCCACCCCGTGAGGTCCCCCCCAGGCGCACAGCTCCCTCAGATGGTGGGTAAGGACAGCTGATTCGCCTGCCTCCAGTCTCCTCAGCAGGCCGCCCATCCCGCCTGTTTTCTACAGAGTGCTCATGACAGATACAACCCCCTCGAGCTGTAGCGCTGTAGCACTGTGACAGTACAGCGGGAGCAGGGCTCTGAGCTCCTTATCCTCCCTCTACATTTTCCTTGTTTTCATCACTTCCTTACTTGTAATGCTGAGGATTTTATGTCCATGACTCACTCACCTCGCTGTGCGGAGTCTGCTTCAGGCTCTTCTCAGCTTTATCCACAAAATCTTTCTCCTCAAAATACAAGTAACTCTTGAATTTTATCAAAGCCTTGAAAACCAAGAGGAAACACAGGCACAGTGAAGCTCTGGCTGCATCATGGAGATAACCAAGTCAGACTCACACGAAGAGCAGAGTCCTTGTGCTCACCACAGAGGACAGAAATCCTCACCATGGAGTTCTGTCAGATTCTGAACTAAAACTGTGTTTATTCCTTCTCGGTATGGGGGTGGAACCTAGGGCCTCTCACACGTTAGGTAATGATCTACTACTACTATACCCCTATCCCTTCTTTTTACCTTATCTTGAGACAGGCTTCTCACCAAGTTGTCCATGCTGCCCTCAAATATGTGGTCCTCCTGCCTCAGTCTATGGAGTAGCACAGATAACAAGTGTCTATCACCACATTTGGCTTACTATGTAGTTCTTAAAAACTACCAGCCAGTCATGCTTGTTAGACATTTTTAAAAGTTGCTTAGTAAGAAAATTTGTAAAGAAATACATATAAGTACACATTCTTACCATAACAACAACAACAAAAATCTCCATTAAAAGGGGCTCAATGAGGGCCGCCACTGAGCTAAATCCCCATTCCAAAAAAGAGGCTAAATGAGCTAGCTGGGTGTGGTGGCCCATGCCTTTGATCCCAGTACTCAGAAGGCTGAGGCAGGAGGATCACAAGCTCAAGGCCAGCCTGAACTACTATCTTAAAAAAAAAAAAAAAAGGAAAATTCACACATTTTTAATAATCTCAGAGGAAGAAGAAATAATGACCCCTCAGAGTCCAAAGCCCCATACTGTATAGCACTATTCTGAGGTAACACTTTCCTGCTGGCTTCCTGTTTCTCTCAAGGTAACCCTGAGTCCCAAAAGCCTATTCAGCTTGTGCATTCCCAAGTGAACTTACAACATTCATTACATTTTAAATAATGAATTTCTCAGTAGATGTATGTCTTAGACATGGTTTCAGAACAGGTCACAGGATATATAAACACACAAAACGCAGAGTATCTCTCTCCACCCCATGTCTCACCAACAGTCTCCCTCGCAAAAGTGAGTACACGCCAGATAGACATACAAGGAAGGTGCATGGCAAAAACATACTACAAGCTCTGCTTTGCATCTTGAGTATTTCACTCAGCCATACACACTAGAGATCACTTATATCAGTATACATGTAGCTTTTGGACAGATCCATTGTATTTTATCTTACATATGTCTTATTAACAAATTAAAAACAAACATTCATACACTTTTTAATTTTAGTTAGTTTAACTAATTTTTGGCTAGAGCTACAGGCATGCACCGGCATGGCAGGCAAAAAGTGAACCACTGGAAAGATTCCCAGTGTACTCTTCAGGGAGCTGCAGACTCCGCTTCTGTACCACAGGCACCAGTGTGGTGCACGTCAGGGTCCTGGAGCAGGGCATGAGCCGGGAGTGCGGTGCTCTTCGTAAAATGAGATCTGGGGTTGCTCCTTTTCCGAACAAATTCAGAGGACATCCACTATTTCATTTATTTATTTATGTTTATGCTTTACTTTGGCGGTCTGGGAGTGATCCCAGGCCTTGTGTGCCAGACCAATCCCTCCGCAGCTCTACCCCCGGCCCCTAGTAGCCAGTGCAGAGACATACACTCTGAAGCAACCAGGATCCAGGATGACAAAAGGGTGGCAGGGTCCAAAAATAAATCTGTTTAGGTGGCCATCTGGATTTCCTGATAGATCCCACAGAAAGCCAGCGGAGACAGGAAAGGAATTAACAAGTAGTGCTGGGAAGCTGGGAGGCCTGGGGAAAAAAGAACCCTGACTTTCCGCCACAAAAACTAATTCAAGGTGGATCAGAGACCAAAGTGCAAAAGCTAAAAGTATGCTTCCTTTTTTCCTTCCTTTTTCTTTTCTTTCTTTGTTGTTTTTTAAGGCAAGGTCTTGCCATGTAGTTCAGGCTGGCCTTGAACTCACTATGTAGCTCAGGCTGGCCTCGAATTCATGGTGATCCTCCTGCTTCAGCCCCCCAAGAGGTGGGATTACAGGTGTGCACCACCATTCCTGACAAAAATGTGGTAAATCAGACTTCCCCAAAATTAAAACTTGAAAAAAAAAAAATTAAAACTTGGGTGAACCAGAATACACTAGTAAGAAAGTAAATAGGAAAAAAAGAAAGTAAATAGATAAGTGACAGTGAAGGAGAAATACCTTATTTGACAGATGACTATAATTTAGAACACAGAGGGAAACTCTGCAAATAAATAAGATAACCCAGTCAAAAAATAAATCTGCCAGGCAAGAGGATGGCCACAAGTTCAAGGCCAGCCTGAACTATAGCAAGCTCAAGACCCCGTCTCAAAAAACCCAAACAAGGGCCAGGGATTTAGCTCAGTGGTGCCACACCTGCCTCACAAGTGCAAGGTCCTGAGTTCAATCCCTGGTACTGGAAAACAAAACAAGAAAAAAAATATTTGAATACAAACTTTACAGAAGATACACGAATGGTCAATAAGCACAAGAAAATGGTATCACTAACCAAAGAAACGCCAATTTAAGCCACAATGAAATATTGCTACACAACCATCAAAACGGCTAACATTAGTAAGATGACAGTAAATGCTGGCATCTAAAACTCACATACGTGGTTGCTGGTGATGAAATCCAGTCATTTCTTGAAAAACTAAATGTAAGCACCCTATGACTCAATAAACCCTCAAAATTAAAACATTTACAGAGAGACATGCATAAGAATGTTCATGGCATCCTTACTTACAGTAGTCCCCAGCTTAAAACACCCAAGTGTCCATTAATAGAAAAATGGATAAACATCTTGTGGTCCTTTTATGCTTTGCAGTACTGGGGACAGAACCCAGGGGTTGCTCTACCACTAGCTATGCTTTCGGCCCTTTTCATATTCTCTCGGTCTCAAACTCACAGTGATCCTCCTGCCTCAGCCTCCCAAGTTCTGGGATTACAGGTGTGTGTTACCATCCTGGCTTTTCATAATTCTTTTTGAGGAAGGGTCTCCTTAGATTGACCAGGCTGGCCTCCCATTTGCCACCATCCAGGCACATGCTGGGATGTAAGTTGGGTTGTGCTATGACGGGCATGCAATGGAATACAAACCTGCAGAACAGCGGAACTGCAGACACAATGAACAATGCAGATGAATCCCAAGAGTGTTGGCGCAAATGATAAAAGCCAGATACAGAAGACTACGTATTGGGCTGGGATTTAGCTCATCAGTTCTGGCACCTGCCTTGCAAGCAGAAGGACTGGAGTTCAATCCCAGGTACCCCACCCCCCCAAGACTACATACTGAATGATTGCATTAGGTTCAAGAAAAGCAAAAACTAGGCTGGGCATGGTGGCACAGGCCTGTAATCCCAGCACTTCGGAGGCTGATGCTGGGGGATCAATGTGAGTTCAAGGCCAGCCTGAAGTGCACTGTGAGCCCATCTCAAAAAAAAAAAGAAAAAAAAGAATAGGTAAAAACTAAGCTACAGTAGAAAAAATTAAAACAGCAGCTGCCTCTACAGGCTTGAGGATCAGAACCAACTAAGAAAAGAGGAAACTGCTAACAGTATATATATATATCCCAGTGGGGGGTTAGGTCAAACTTGAACTCAGTGAATGCTCATCTACAATGTGTGCATTTCTCTTTTTTTCTTTTTGGTACTAGGGATCGAACTCAGGACCTTGTGCTTGCCAGGCAGGCACTTTGATGCTAAGCTATATCCCTGGCCCTGTGTGCATTTCATTTTACATATATTTTGTATCAAAAGACAGAACTAGCCAGCATAGTGGTGCACGCCTGTAATCCCAGCACTCAGGAGGCTGAGGCAGGAGGACCGTTGTGAGTTCCCAGCCTGAGCTCCATAGTGAGGTCAAGGCCAGCCTGAACTACATAGTGAGACCCTGTCTCAACCCTCCTCCCCACAAAAAAGACAAAACTAAACAAGGTTGAACATTAGCTAGTAAAACACACACTGAAGGGATGGAAACATACTCATATTTGCCATTTTCTGTCATGTATAAGAAGGGTGAATGGACGGATGGGTGGAAGGGATCTAAACATGTGAATGATAGAAGGTAGGTGATGGGTGCTTGGGCACTGACTTAAATTCTCTCCTCTGTCACTCTGTCTGAAAATGTGCGTGAGTGTAGGGAGAACTCGGGTCAGCACACAGGCCACAGCTGCAGGTGCTGACTTCCCAGCCTTCAAGGGTGGGTGCCCAGGAGGAGACGAACTCACCTTGTCTTTGTAGGTATCGGGCAGTGACTTGGCTGTCTCTGTATCTTCAGGAAGATTGATATAAAATCCCAGGACATCTCCCTGTCCATAGCCAGAAGAGTAGTGTTTGCCAATAGACTGGTGAAATTTGGTCCCCTTTTTGCTCCGCCAAGAGTAGCTAAATTTATCATAACCTAAGGGTGCCTGAAGGTTACCTGTCCCAACAAAAAGATAAGTAAGAAATTGGATGACTGCAGGTCAACTTTGGTTTCCTAAAGCAAACAGATTCTACTGCTCTCTCTTTTTTTTTCCCCTTTGGTACCAGGGATCAAACTCAGGTCCTTGTGCTTGCGAGGCAGGCAGCAGAACCACTGAACTAAATCCCTGGCCCCCTACTGCTCTTTATTTTATATTAATCTTCTGCTAATTTGGTAGCTCTCACAAGTACTCTGGGAACCGCAAACTGGTTAACTCTTCAGACACAGACTGTGATGCCCCAATAAGGTAAACCCAGTTACTGCGGTGGCCACATGAGGGTTCCAGCTTACCTAAGGGCTGGGACCATCCCAGCCTGGCAGCAGTATCTGGCGGCATCTCGTCCACAGTGATTTCAAAGTACCAGGCGCCTTTCCGCACCCCATGGGAGGCCCGCACCATGGAGTAGCCCTTCTCGCCTACCACGGTCAGCCGGTCATCAGAGATCTTCAGCTGGGGAGCTGCAGCAGTGGAGATGCAAAGAGAGGCTGCAACTCACCTGAGATATGGACGGGAGCCCTTACCCGCCAGTGAGACAGCACAGAAGGGCAGAGCGTTAGTGCAGGAGCCTAAGAATACCAGTCTGAGGCCCTGACAAAAGGGCGAAGGGGAGAGAGGAAGAAAGTTGTCAGGTGATCTACTATTAAGTGCAACCACACTCAGATGATAGGTTAAAATTAATTGTACTGCATATGCATAGCCCCTAAATTTAACAAACCAACTGTAACAGGTTTAGACACTATTTTGAGTAAACTATCCTTTAAAAGATTGTAATTTTTTTCCCCCACCAGGGGCTCCTTAGCACTGAGCTACAGTCCACCCTTTACTGATTTTTGAGATAGGATCTTGCTATACTCCAGGTTGGCCTTGAATTGCTAGTCTTGAAGTCACAATCATCCTGCCTCAGCCTCCTGATTAGAGGTATGAGGCACCATGCCCAACTATTCTTTTATTTTTTTGAGGCATTCTCACAAAGTTGTCCAGGCTAGCCTTGAACTTTCAATTCTCATGCCTTAGGCTCCTGAGTAGCTGGAATTACAGCCATATACCATCATACCTGGTTAAAATATTTAACTTTTTAAGCTTGGATGTAGCTCAGTGGTAGAACACTTGCCCAACATGTATCAGGCCTGGGTTCAATACCTAGAGCTGCAAAATAAATCAATCAAGAAGTAAAAATAAATTAACTTTTTCTGGTGTGTGTGTTTTTGGGAAAGGATCTCATTATATAGTTCAGGCTGGCTTTGAACTCACTATGTTGCTCAGGCTGGCCTTGAATTTGCAGTGATAATCCTGCCTTGGCCTCCTAAATGGAAGTGCTAAGACTACAGGTGTGTACCACCATGCCTCGAACCTATACAAACTTAACAATAATTCCAGACTTTTAAAAATGACAAGACATCCAGGGATTTAGCTCAGTGGTGCTGCCACCTACCTCACAAGCACAAGGTCCTGAATTTGATCCCCGGTATACTACACACACACACACACACACACACACACACACACACACACACTAAAAATTTTAAAGAAAGAAAGAAAGAAATAACACAATCCAGTTGTGGTGGTAAAAGCCTATAATCCAGATACTTGGGAGTCTAAAGCAGGGAGACTAGGCCAGCCTAGACGATATAGTTAAGATTACATCTAAAAAAAAAAAAAGTAGAGTCCTTACATACCCTTTAGTCAGTCTCCCCTAATGTTACTTTACAACTATAACAGAAATACCAAAATTAGCTAATTACCAGCCATAGTGGCACATGCCTGTAATCCCAACATTCTGGGAGGCTGAGGCAGGAGAATCACAAGACTGAGTCCAGTCTGGACAACTTAGCAAGACCCTGTCTCAAATTGAAAAAATAAGAAAATGGCTGGAGATATAGTTCAGCATGAAGGGCCTGAGTTCAATCTCTAGTACAGAAGAGAACAAATTAACATAAAACATACACAAACCCAGAAAACTGCTACTTAGAAGAATCACTAGAGCCCAGGAGGCTCAAAGCTAGCCTGGGGGAAACAAGCAAGAATCCTTACCAAAAACTCCCTCCAAAAATTAACACTGATAGAATACTATTAATTACAGAAAAACCAATTATCAAATAATACCCTTTTTCTTACTCAGGACCTAATTCAATTTTGTTAAATGTTGGATCCCTACATAGTCAATATTAACAGGACACTAAGGAGCTCACCTCCTCTCAAAACACTGAATCATGCAAGGGAAAAGAGCAACTGTACAATGGCTAAGCCTGACAGATATCACTTCAGTCCGGTGAAAAACCATCACCAGTTCTGGACAGGACGAAACACACAGAACACAGTTGATTCAGTGATATTCCTGCCGAAGCCGTGTAACTTCAATCACAAATTGAAACTGAGTAGTAGTCTATGAAATAACTAGCTATAATTTTCAAAGGCACCGGAGTCAAGAAAATGAAGGGAATGCCGGGACTGAGGAAGTCTTAGAAAATATGCCAGTGCAATGGAGAACACGGGGAGGACCCAGAGTCAGAAGCAGTAATGAGATACTAATACCCTACTTTTGATAGTTATACGCTGGTTCTGCAAAAATACAAAATTGAAAAAAAAAAATCCAAAAATTCTTTGATACACCCTCCTTCATGAGACAGCTCAGTTTCCCTCCATTTGAGTATGGGGCACTTAATGATACATTTCTGCCAGATAAGATCATATTGGGGGCTAGGGGCGTAGCTTATCGGTAATACGTGTACTCAGCAGGGGAGAGGCTCCGAGTTTAATCCCCAGCACCACAAAATGAGTAAATAGCTAGACAAACAGCTAGCTGGACAGCTATGCAGACAGCCGGACAGTGGAGGTGTATTCCTGTAATCGCAGCACTCTGGGTGGCTGAGGCAAGGGGACCACAAATTTAAGTCCAGCCTGGGCAACTCATCAACTTAAAGAGACTCTGCTTAAAAAAAGAAAAAGAAAAAAAAAATGCTGGGTGCAATGGTGTACGCCTGTGATCCAGAAGTTCAAGGCCAGCCTGAACTTCACAGCAAGATCTTGTCTCAAGGGCCGGGGATTTAGCTCAGTGGTTGTGCCACTTGCCTTGCAAGTGCAAGGACCGGAGTTTGATCCCCGGTATAAAAAAAAGGAGGGCCAGGGATTTGGCTCAGTGGTTCTGCTGTCTGCTTCGCAAGCGCAAGGGCCTTAGTTCGATCCCTGGTCCACCCCACACCCCAAAAGACTATAGCTTAGTGTGAATGGCCTTAGTTCAAAGGCCAGTACAAAAAAAACCAAAAAACAAAAAAACAAAACAAGGCCAGGGATTTAGCTTAGTGTTTTCACTGCCTGCCTTGTAATTGCAAGGTCCCCAGTCCAATCCCTGGTACCAAAACAAAACAAAAACCCCAACCCACCCCCCAACAAATTCATATATACACGTGAAACTCATTAATTTATACAATATATTAAAAGAAATATACAGGGTTTATGTAGCTCAGGCTGGCCTCGAACTTACTATGTAGCTGAGGCTGGCCTCATACTCATGGAATATGCTTCAGCCTCCTGAGTGCTGGAATTACAGGTGCGCACCACCATGTCCAACAAAATAACTTTTATTCATTTATTCATTTATCTATCCATTTATCATATCATATCATATCTATCTAGTTATTTATTGGTTTTTGGAGACAGGGTCTCACTATGTAGTTGAGACTGACCTGGAACTCACTATAGCCCACGCTAGGCTGGCCTCGAACTTACTATGTAGCTGAGGCTGGCCTCATACTCATGGAATATGCTTCAGCCTCCTGAGTGCTGGAATTACAGGTGCGCACCACCATGTCCAACAAAATAACTTTTATTCATTTATTCATTTATCTATCCATTTATCATATCATATCATATCTATCTAGTTATTTATTGGTTTTTGGAGACAGGGTCTCACTATGTAGTTGAGACTGACCTGGAACTCACTATGTAGCCCAGGCTGGTCTTGAACTCATAGCGATCCTCTGGCCTCAGCTTCCCAAGTGCGGGGATTACAGGCATGTGCCACCAAGCCCAGCCACCAAATAATTTTTTAAAAACAGCCGTAAGGGCTGCGGATGTAGCTCAGCAGTAAAGACATGCTAGCATGTGCAAATCCCTGGGTTCAATCTCCTAGCATACACAAGGCTTTGGGTTCAATTCTCAGCACCTTAGTAAAAAAACTCTTAAATAGAGAACAACACACGCTGTTTAAGAGGTTATGGAGAAGTAAATGCTCTCTATATAGAGGGTGGGAATGAAAATCAGTACAACGCATCTGAAGGAGAAATTGGCAACAGCTACCGAAACGACATATTGTCTCCCTTAGGTTTTCGCCCAGCAATCCTACTTCTAGGAATTTACCCTGGAAATATACCGCACCCATACTAATAATATGCCCAAGGCAGGTCCCTGTTGCTGTGTTTGTGGCTGAGAAATGCTGAAAACACCTTCATGCCACGTACAGGCTGGCTGGACCAGCTAGGGGACAGCCATGTGACGGAGAACCTAAGAGAAAGCTATGAAAAGGAAAACAGAAGGGCACCAGCTCTCTGAACTGATATAGAATAAATGCAAAAGTATGCTGTCCTCAGGCTAGGGATGTAGCTCAGCAGGTACAGCACCTGCCTGGCAAGCACAAGGTCATGATGTCAATCTCTGGTACTTAAAAAAAAGAATGCTGTCCCTTCTATATAAAAGAATACATAAGCTGGGGATTTGGCTCAGTGGTTCTGCCGCCTGCCTCGCAAGCACAAGGGCCTCAGTTCGATCCCTGATACCAAAAAACAATACACAAGAAGGGTTCGGGATTTAGCTCAGTGGCACTGGGCCTGCCTTGTAAGGCCTTGGCAAGGTCTTAAGTTTGATCCCTAGTACTGAAACATTAAGAATACACAAGAAGGAGAAATACAGGAGATAAACCAGAAACCAGGGAGTTGGTGAGAAAACACTGGGAAAAAAAGAGAGTAAGAATGCACAGCCAGGATGAGAGGGAATGAAAGTCTGTACAATTCTGCCCCTTAAAATTATAGTAATGTTTCACATACTTCCCCTAACATATACACAGACCACGCACACACACACCGGGCAAGAACACCCAAAATGGCATCAAACACCAATAAATGAACCTAACTAAACATAAGCACACTGAGAGAGGTGAAGAGGGAAAGAACTTATCTGAAGGAACAGCGTCTTGGCTGGACACTTCCAGACTGATGTCAACAGAGCTTTATGGAAATGCTGTAGACTGATCAGTAAATGATTCTCATGAGAGCTGTTTTCCTTCCTGAGACTCTGTGCAGTGTGTGTGTGTGTGTGTGTGTGTGTGTGTGTGTGCGCGCGCGCGCACGGTGCAGGGACTGAACCCAGAGCCTCATGCATACTGGTGAGCACAGTATTCCTGAACTTCACCCTAGGCCTACTCTTCCTTTCAATGTACTTCCTTACTGTCTTGCATCACAGAAAGTATTTTCTGAATCTACTTTCTGTGCATACCAGAAATAAACAAATGAGGAACCAGGGCCTTCACATTGAGCTGCAATCCCAGCACTTTCTGTTTTGTTTTTTGTACTGGGATTGAACTCAAGACCTTGAGCTCACAAGGCAGACACGGTGCCGCTGTGCTAAATCCCCAGCCCTAGCAATTTTATTTTGAGACAGGGTCTAAGTTGCCCAAGCTGGGCTCAAACACATAATCCTTCTGCCTCAGCTGCCTGGAGTGCTGGGATTATAGGTGAGCGCCACTATGATGAACTGTATTACGATTATATAAAATGTTATCATTCGGAGAAGCTTGATATTAAGAGTCTCTGGACTCTTTTTTTAAGTTTTGTAACTTTACTGTAAGCCTTTTAAAAAAAAAAATACACATATGGGGTTGGGGATTTAGCTCAGTGGCAACATGCCTGGCTTGCAAGAGCAAGGTCCTGAGTTCAATCCACGGTACCAGAAAAAAAAACAAAAAAACAAAACCCACATGTATAAAAATGGCTTTGAATTTACAGGAAAAGAAAGATGGAAATGATCTCTTGCACAGTCTGGCTAAGGCGAGCTGGAGGGTTGGGCAGTGGTGACAGACTGAGATGTATGCGTAACCCTAGACTGTTCAAAGATCATGAGGGCAGCTCAAAGGCACCTGGGTCACTGGCATACCTCTATCATGCAGGGCCAACAAAACCCGTTCATACAAGCAGGCTCTATAGAGGTCTCCAGGAATGGGCTTTCCTGCCCAGCAGTCAAGTTCAAGCTTCTCAGGGTCAGGAGCATGTGGATCGGGCTCAGCAAGGATGTACCGATAGCCATCTTTGTTGAATGGGTGTTCCAAGGGGTAGCCATGAGGGGGAAGACGCTGAGCAGAAAACAAAGGGTCACTGCAAAGAGAAAAAAATAAAATCAAGAAACTAAAACTCCCCCCGGCTCAACCACATTCTACTGTGTAAGAAAGGCCTCCGATTCTTGTTCAGCCAGAATACGTGCCACTTCTTAACAAATGTTTTTCATAACTCAGACTATCCTGCCCTCTGCAGGCAAGACAGGGAAATGAATGAGGTTAAGCTTTCCCAGCAGAGGAGTCTGGGTTAAAATTAGACTCTGTAGGGACTGACAAGTTATTCGCTAAGGACAGACGACTCCTGGCAGATACTGCTGTCCATGATATGCAGCTGGTACACACTAAAGGGGAAAAGGTGACGAGCAGTTATTATAAACTAATAAACAGAAGCTCAAAAATAAGAGCACTTATTCTCTGTTGTCAGTCTGAGTAAAAAAGTAACCTGGATTTTATCACCTCAGTAAGAAACAGACAACGGAAGTAGCCCGAGAGAAGAGAGGCAGAAAGTTAAAGAGCAGGCGTGGTGGCACATGTCTGTAATCCCTGCACCTGGGAGGCTGAGGCAGGAGAATCGCCTTAGAGCTTGAGGCCAGCCTGAACAGCACAGCGTGAGACCCTTTCTCAAAACAAGAACAAAAACAAAAACAAAACCAAAAAAACGTTAAAGTGCTAATATTCAGTAGGTTTTGCTGCCTTCTGCTCCATCTATCCTTTCTCAGAATGCCTGAGATAATGCAAAGGCTTAACCAAAGGATGCTGGTCTAGGGTCCTTTGGTAGCATCAAGCTCATAAACTAGGACATGGAGCCCAGGATAATTTTGCTCCCTAAAGTTCTCATGGGCTGGGCATGGTGGTGCATGCTCGTAATCTCAGTACTCAGAAGGCTGAGGCAGGAGGATTGTCATGAGTTCAAGGCCAGTATGGGCTACATAATGAGACCCTGACTCAAGAAACAAACAAAAACAAAACCAAAAGAAAGAGAAAGGGAGGGAAGGAGGAGGGGCTTTATAGCTTCAGACGACAGAGTAGAGAAGGCAAACCTTTCAGAGCTTTCAATAATAAACAGCCCACTGTGGCACGCGTGCCATAGGTTCACCACCACTGCACCACAGCTACTAAAGAATATGTTCCCTGGGCCGGGGATTTAGCGCAGTGGTTCCAGCGCCTGCCTTGCAAGTGTGAGGTCCTGAGTTCGATCCCCAGTACCACACACACACACAAAAAAAAGAGTATGTTCCCTAAGCTGGGGATTTACCTCAGTGGTTCCACCACTTGCCTTGCAAGTGCAAGGTCTCAAGTTCAATCCTCAGCACCAAAAAAAAAA